CGAAGCGGTACAGCTACACCTACAGGTCCACCGGGGGGGAGCCATCTTTTAAGAAACAACGCAATTCTCTTGACATTTTAGTGGTTTGAGTGTTGAGAGGTGGTTCTTCTTCTTCATTTGGTGTAATGGAATAAATAAACTGAGATGGTGGTGGTGGTGGTAGTGAGAGAGATGTATCGAGAGGGGCATCATGTTATGTATATGTATGTGGGTTCGAATTTTCATGTGTTACCCGATGGGCAATCTAGAATTTCATGTAAAGGACCCCAAATTCATATAAATATAATCGGATAATAGTAGTTGCCAATCTGCATTAAATTTTCAGGGACAATGGTAAGAAAATAATAATAATAATAATAATGGTAAAATAAGCAAAATAGCAATCTTCTTCTCTCTCTAGATTATTCCTCTTGTAAGAGCAAAATTTCAAATAATTTGAACATTAAACAGGGGAAAAAATGAAAATTTTCCAATTTTTAATGTATCGTGACCGTGAGAGAATTATACACAAAAGTGACAATAGGCAAAATATTAGAAAATTTGGGTTTTCAAATTTGAAAATAAGAAAAAGTTTTTGTACTCTCCCCTTTATATATTAATTTCTTCTCCAAATAAAAAAAATAATAGTGATCATTAATTTCTTCTCCTAATAAAAAATATAATAGTGATCAAAACATAATAATACTCATACTCGGTGAGAGATCACTAGTTAGGATATATATCATATTGTTCATAAGATTTAGACCCAATTGAGATAGTTTGTCGAAATAAAAATATCCCAAGAGCGGCTTTCCCAACTATGATAAAACTACTCATCACCATGACTAAATCAGTCAAGCGGGTGGCTAAGAAGGCAGATGCTAAAACATCGACAACATGGCCAATAAAAGAAGTCTACGAATATCCATTATTAGTTTGTTTGTTGTTAAGGATGAATAAACCACCACTCAACCCAAAAGGTTAAGTTGATGGGTCGAATCTCGCTCTGATACCATAAAAAAATATCACTCAACCGAGAAGTTTAAGTTGATGAATTGGATAAAATTAATTTATATATTGGATATCTAATATTTATATTCAATTAAATCAAATTATTGCATTTCTTTAGGGTCCCTATGCAAAATAAAATAGTATCTTTCATTTTCACCATTGAGACTCGTCCAAATTCCAACTTTCAAATGATGCCTTTGCCCTATGCCTCTTTAGAAGTCAATACCCCAATTCCCAAGTTTGGGATTTTTCTACAACATACAGCCCCATTCCGATATGGCCCAAATTCTTCCGACTTATTTAGAATATCAAATAGTGTAGGGCCGTGGAAATTAAATGGGATTATAATCTCATAATTTTCCAGTGTCACGAGCCAGTTGGTTAAAGGTAAAAAAACAAAAAGAAATATTGTTGGACATCATTGGGGATGTAGCTCAGATGGTAGAGCGCTCGCTTAGCATGCGAGAGGTACGGGGATCGATACCCCGCATCTCCATTTTTGGAAAGAAAATTCTATAATTTTTATCAAGTTATTGACGCATTAAAAAAGAAATCTAACTGAACCTACTTGAAAATAGATTTTAGAATACAAAATTACTGCATAATACCTATATATAATATTATTGCGAGTGATTTTATGATTATATTGTTGGATTAAAAAATTATATTGTTTTATCTTCCTTTCATTAAGAAAACACTCCTGGATAGTTTTTATAACATGAAACTATATAATAACTTTAAATATCTTGACATATTCCTACCTTCTAATGATTGTAGGGTTAAAATATTGTTGTCTGTCATTTTCGTTATTAAAAAAGTCGTACGATTTTTCTTTGCCACTTTTGTTCCTTGTGAGATGGGTATCCAATGTATTTTACAAAGTTATCAAACTAGAAAGAATCTTTTGGAATATTTGTTATGAATTTTAATATGCTATAACCTTAAATATCTGGACAGATTCACATTAGAGATAAGTTCTAAGGTAGAATTAAAAAAAATCATTATTTAAAAATAAATTACAATTCACTTCCCCGCATATTCAGTGGGCGATCACATTAATTAACGATAAAAGAAGAGCATTGATACATATAGTTACTAGTATAACATATTTATTTTTCTTTATTAAAACAGGGAAATGTGATGCTCCAACTCTCAAGTCAGTTGATCAATTGAGTATAATAAAAGAGAATTTGGAAGGATTCAAACTCACGAACTCTTGATAGAGACATGTGCTAATTACTACAAAGTCGAGTTCATGGTAGTGAAACATCTACTTTTATTATTTTCTTTAACATAACATGTGGGGAGGATGACTAAACTCACAACTTCTTAATTGAAAATATACGAGTCAAACAATTTGACATCTAATTTGATTACTGTAACAGGAGAATCGAAGATGAAGAGGTGAAAACAAATAGTTATTTTGTTCGACTGCTTAAATTGGGAGATGGCTATATGGATAAGTCTAATTGCTTAGTCATCCTCGGCCCTCGTCTGCATTGGCTAATTGGAATTGTTACCTCTTCCAATAATTAAGTTGAATTTTGTACTCATCTTTAAAAAACTCTCATTTGTCACCCTACGTATAGACTAAAATACCCCCACAGCTTTCCTTTTTCCTAACTTTCTATTTCTCCAACATTTCTCTTCTCTTTTTCACTTTTTACTTTCGATTTCCTTTTCCATCCTAACAAAATTTGTCAAAATTTTGGAAAAAGGAAAATTATAAGTAAATTAATGTCGATCGTTCTTGATTTTTTTTTCAATTATGAACCTAATATGAAAAAAAAAATCTAACTTTTTAATTTGATTGAAAATCGTATAAATGTCAAATTTAATTTTTTTAAAAGTCAAGATTCTATGAATCTAGGGTAAAGATTGAATAAATGTCGGAATTTAATTAACAAAAATAGCCAAAAATAAATTCCCAAATAAAAAAATGGAATTGTGTGCTATCCCGATGCAATTTTTTCAAAGTTGGACATTTATTATTGGTTGATTAAATCTCGGACATTTATGCTTGACTTTGTTTTTTAATTAAATTTGGACATTTATGAAGTCTTGTGTTTCACCCTGCAAGTTTGATTTTTCATATTAACAATTAAATATTTAATACTTCAATAATTTTTTAATATATTTTTTGCATATTAGATTCATAATTGATTTTTCAAATAAAAAGTTTGATTTTTTTCCAATTTGTAATTGATTTTTCAAATTAAAAATTAGATTTTTCAAATTTATAATTGATTCTTTTAATTAAACGAAGATATTTAGTAATTTTATAAAGTCATAAAGTGAAAAGAGGCAAAAATGAGTCACAAGTAAGAGTTTTCAAAAAATGGATAAAAAACCAATTAAAAAATGGGTCAAAAATCCCAATATTTCCTCTTAGGAGATGATCATATGGATAAGTTTAATTGCAGTGATCCTCGGCCCTCGTCTGTCAAATTCATTATTTTATATGTGGAAAAATTATAGTTGTGAACCAAACAGAAAAGAAAAAAAGATATTTTTTTTTTAGAAAAATCCTGTTTCTTTTCGCAATTTTAGTTGCAGCCAAACTCACGAGAAACTCAGTCACGAATAAAGATCTTTCACAGAAGAAGAATTGTAAGGAAACAATTCGGCCCCGTTTACTTTGGGAAATTTCAGCTCATTTTCCTTAAAGTCAAGAGGGCCCGTCCCCTTCTACTTCTACATTTCTGGGTGCTGATCAAAATTCCATGAGCGACCCATTCCTATAATCTCTATTCTATTCTTGAAACCCCCATTAATTTCGAGCGCACTGTGATTTGTGAGGGTGAAGACAAACTGAAAGGTACAACGTTCCTTCTTTCTCTTGCTTTCAAATTAAGATTTATGGTTCCATTGCCAGCTTCTGGTTCTGGGTCTGGATCTGTTTCTTCTTTTCTCCCCGCGGATTTGATTGTTTGGTGCGTCTTCTTCTGTTCCTGGCATATCCTTGATTTCATATCTCTGAAATTCTCGTTAACCCTTTTCCTTTTCAAAAATATTAATCTAATTCCTTTTTGCATCACCACAACTCCATAAACTACTATTTCCTGTATCTTCGACGGTGTTTTTGAGGTTTCCCCACTCTGTTACAAAATTTTTTATATTTGGAATGTGTTTGCGTCTGGGGATACGTATTTTTTTTGGGAATGTTTTGTGTTTTTGGAATGTTTTGTTTTTTGGAGTCTTCCATTGCCAGCTTTGCAAGTTGTGGTTGCTGCTCAAATATTTGGATTTAATATATTTACTTTACCTTTATTATCTGCATCAATTGGGGATATCGTTTAATTCTATGAAAAGTTTGACTAAAACGAAAGGCAATTTACTTTAATATACTGATTTCTACTCATTATTTGGTGGTCTTTCTATGAACTTCTAAACTTGACAAAGCTGTTTTTTCTTGCTCACCTGCTAGTTTTGAGGTGTGTGTTTGTTTAAATCATTGAGAAAAGCTTAAACCAAAAGGAGCTTGTAACTTTGGTTGTCATAGTTCATTGGTTTTTACAGATTTTCTTTGTGAGTCCAAATATCTGATTCTGTTTTTGCTTTTTGCGAAGGTTGAAGATATGGGTAATCTATTTTGTTGTGTGCAAGTGGACCAATCAACTGTAGCTATAAGGGAGAGGTTTGGGAAATTTGAGGAAGTTCTTGAGCCAGGATGCCATTGCTTGCCTTGGTTTCTTGGAGCTCAGATCGCTGGCGACCTGTCTCTCCGGTTGCAACAATTGGATGTGCGATGTGAGACCAAAACAAAGGTTTGCGTTTGCCAATCTTATTCTAAAATTTGATGGTACCATTTCCGTCTCATCATTCAGGTTATTGACTATTTGGAGTGCTTTTATGCACTTGAATCGCTACTCGTTAGTTGTTGAAGGAAGAATAAATTTGTTTGTTCTAAAACGCAGTATATCTATGAAAACTAAGAAAGGAAGAAACACTCTAAAAGACAGTCTCTGAAACATATTCTCAAACAAAAAACAGTTTCAAAACTCAATGTCTAAAGAGCCCCATATTCTCTCCATGTGCTTTGCTGAGGCAAAAACATATAGACTTGGCTTGTAATGTAGTTACTTTACTTATAACTGCTTCTCTACCTTGGTCCTTGTATATTATTCAATCTGAGGACTTAAATGGTGCCTAGTTACTAAAATTTGAGGTGATTTTGTTCTTTAGGATAATGTATTTGTCAATGTCGTTGCCTCTATTCAATATCGAGCATTGGCAGACAAAGCAAACGATGCATTCTACAAACTTAGCAATACAAGGTCCCAGATCCAGGCTTACGTTTTTGATGGTATACTCCAATTATTTTTTCCTGCTAAACCTATTGGTTATGTACTTGTAAAGCTGATTTGATGTTTTCTTTTGTCATATTTTGTCGACACGTTTCTCTAAACTTAGGAAACTTCTTGCATATTGTAGTGATCAGAGCAAGTGTTCCAAAGCTCAACTTGGATGATGCCTTTGAGCAGAAAAATGATATAGCCAAAGCTGTAGAAGATGAACTTGAGAAGGTAATCCTTTTTGCTTGTTCAATATTAGTGGTTATGAAACAAATTCCAGCTTTCTTACAATTTCTGGATTATTGTTTTCAGGCTATGTCGGCTTATGGTTTTGAGATTGTACAAACCCTGATTGTCGATATAGAACCAGACGAGCATGTTAAGAGAGCAATGAATGAAATTAATGCTGGTAATACTTCAAGTCTCAAGCTTAGTTGAGGTTATTATTATCCATGCTTGTGAATTGGAAATGTCTATTTAGTAGCATGAAATGATCAAATGGCAGAGTTCTATACAATGTGAAAAGTTATTTTATTTAACATCTTATAGTTCATTTATTATCATATGCTTATATCAAAAAAGTTGTCCAACAATGAATGTTCGACACACGTCGAGTATTGAACATATGAGATATTGCTTGTTATGTATTGGACACGGACACATTGCCCAACTATTGACTATTGCTCTGGTCACCAAAGTAAGAATGCATAGTAAACTGTTGTATTGATGGTTAAGATCAAAACCTTCCACTTTCTATTCTACACCAGACATTTTGGTGATAATTGATTTTGTTTATTATTGGATGTGTTTTCAGCTGCTAGATTAAGGGTGGCTGCAAATGAGAAGGCGGAAGCTGAGAAAATTTTGCAGATTAAGCGAGCTGAAGGTGAAGCTGAAGCCAAGTACCTGTCTGGGTTGGGTATTGCTCGGCAGCGTCAGGCAATTGTGGATGGTTTAAGAGACAGTGTGCTGGGCTTCTCTGTTAACGTTCCCGGGACAACCGCGAAGGATGTTATGGATATGGTGCTAGTGACCCAGTACTTTGACACCATGAAAGAAATTGGAGCTGCCTCTAAATCCACTTCTGTGTTTATACCTCATGGACCCGGTGCTGTTCGTGACGTCGCATCGCAAATTCGCGATGGACTTCTTCAGGGTGGTGCTTCTTCTCACTAGTCCAACCCTCTACTATGTTACAATGTTGATGTCTGTCTATAAGGTGGTATTGTTTAGTGTGTGTTATGATTTTCTGTTCTCAACTGTTGATGATTTTACATTTGAGCTTTAAAGATTGTTCTTAATACTTTTTTCATGTGGTTTCTCTACTTCGTATGGAAATATATTTCTCTACCAATGAATGCTTCCATGACATTCTCCACTGGAAATCCTGTTCTTACAGTGACTGCTAATTTTTGCAATCCAGAACAAGAAACTCGAAGAATCTGGATCTGAATTATCTCACAAGGTCTGTTTTTAGTTTAATTGATTGGTCACGGTCTCTTGTACAAGATGTTGCAAAGATTATTCCTCTCCAGATTATTCATACAATTAACTTTCGACAGTTTTTCTGAACACCCTTGACTCGATTGTTTTGTTTGAGACAAAATTGGCCCAAAAAGGAATTTTCAACTACAAACTGAATCTTTGGCCTACAACATTCGATTATTTCAACCAAGCAGCAATCGAAATATATGAATATGTATCTGGCCTGGTGATTTAAACAGCCGAAGCTTTAACCAATGAGCCATTTCCTGACCAACGAGGCATCGCGGGCAGGAAGCTGAAAAGAAAGCTTATAGATAGAGGCTTAGTGTCACTCACTAGATACCTGCAGAACTTCTTCAGATCTTTTACCCAAAACTCATGCAAATCTAATCATTGTTCGTTGTTTCTGTCACAGGAAACGCATATATTAAATAAATAATCTTCAGATTGAAACATCCCGAGATACAATTTTCAATCAAAAGTGAAAACTATTCAAAGAGGCAGTGGAAACAAGCCACACTTCTGAAATAGAGCTGCAGACTGACCTTGTTTCACCAATCAATTTTGGGTGCTTGTGCCACTTCTAGATTAAGCGACCTGGTGACCTACAAATATGCAGATCAAAGTTATGTGGAACTAAAATTGAGTTACAAATGAGCATTTTCAAGACTAAATAATGTACGTTCCATTTTGAATGATGAATACCTGAGATATTTTGAGCTCCAGTTCATCCCACTCTGAAGACGGATCGCTTCCTTTTACTATCCCTGTTCCGGCATAGATCAAGGCACCAAGACCCTGAAATCAAAGAATGGTTATGGCAACGTCAAGGTTTCAGAAAATTTAAAAGAGTAAAAATGCAACGCAAGTATTTAAGTTTGTTTAGCTCATATGGTAGATGCCATCTTACTTTCTCCACTAATGCTGATCTGATGCCCACAGCAAACTCACTCTGTCCTCCTCCAAACCAACCAACAGGCCCAGCGTACATCCCCCTATCAAATATTTCTGCACCATAAAATTTCCCAAGTTTCTTAAATGCAAGCAGACGGGTGAAGAGTGAAGATAGCTCGTCTTTTCAATCCCAGATTTGGCATACGATAAAATTAAAGACCCCAAATCAGCATTTGAAGAAAACCATTGATGAAACTGGGCGAGATAATATAAAGTACCTCTAGCAGTTTATAGAGAGAACAAACCGACCTAACCTATTCGTATGTTCACTTACGAGCAAGAGTAAAAATCTAGTATGGCAACCCCATGAATCTTACAGCCAAAGTTCACCTACCAGTTTCTGCAATTAAGTGTCGAGCCTCTTCTGTTGGCAATCCACAAACGGCGGGAGTTGGATGAAGTGTTGATAAAATTTCAAACTTTTTAAGCAGCAAAGAAGAGTTAGAACTGTATGTTCTCGTCGGGGAACAATAGTTTACAGGGAACATAATTTTTGGTGATTTTTACCTCATCCTCCTCGCTTTTCAGCCTGCCTGCCAGTTGGGCATACAAATGTTGTATTCTTGGAAGTTTTCGTACTGCTTTATGTGGTTCAACAATTATTGCATCGCATACAGCCTACAAACATCATTTAGGTAACAACTCAAATTTCTCGTACCATTTGGAACTAGGAGATAGGTGTTAGGCTGCTAAAAATCTGCAATATTCTTGTAATATTGTCCTCTCTTCATTCTTGCGGGACTTATGGTGAAGTGCATGTAATAATGTTTAGCACATAAATACGAAGATATAAAAGAGAAACAATTCATTGTTTGGAAGCACTACAAATATCATGGTAGCACATAGCAACTAAGTACAAAACTTGTTATAATAGGGGGCTTATCAGGGCACAATAACATGCCACTTAAGTTTCTTTGATGTCATCAACAGAAAAGAAGGTAGCAAGACACGCTCAAACTTACCTCTAACTTCTTCTTCATGGTTTCCCGCACAATAGAAAACTCGAGGTCATCCTTTGGGCTGCAGATAGAAAGTAGAGTTAGTGAAACTCCTGTCCTCTGCACATTTGTTTGAGACAACAGGATAATAGCACCATTGAGTAAAAAAAAATAAGAATTTAGAGATGAAATTAACTTGGAAAGCAAATCATTTTCTATTTTAAGGTCTTCAATGGCTGATCTGCCCCTCGCACGAGTTGCAGCCAAGGCTTCACTTCTAATGCTAAGTCCTTCTCTATGGAATAGTCGCTCAGGCTGTTACAAATATATCCAAGTCAAAACAATTAGTAAACAATTAAAAAAAGAAGGGTTAACATTTCCACGAATTTGTAGTTAAACTTGTTACAAAATGGACGCTTGGTATAAGCCAGACGAGTAGAAAACTAATTGAAAACATCTTTCATTAATATCCAACCTTCGGCACTGTATTACAAGAGTTCAAGTTACTTTCGAACGTTCTCCATTTCATAACAAACAAATCTCCAATTCATCACAGAAGGTTCTTCAAATTTTGTCACAAAATGAAACAGTAACTGAGATAAAAGAAGCATACGCAATATTATAACAAGATAACAAATCAAACTTACCGTGCTACCTATGAAGGCTGGAGCATTAGATGGCTGGATACAAAACTGATAAGAGTTTTTTCCCTCTACCTGATACGGTTAAAACTAGATTCAGAAAGAAACAAATTTGCTGCATAAAAAGGAGCATAACTCAACTAATTAAGGTATTATACATCTATTTTAAAAAGCATAACTCAACTAATTAAGGTATTATACATCTATTTTAAAAAGTTAAATGTTCAAATATCCACTTCTCACATTGTTGAACTAAAAAAACGTAATATTCACAGAGAATTGAAGTACCATCATATAGGCTACCTGTAAACATGCTACCCATGCAACAGGATCAATATCGACACTCGTCACTATTCGGGTACTACGTGCAAGTACAACCTAAATTTAGTAAATAACATTAAAACCAATTATGATGGCGAATAGAAAAAGAAAATATGAAATTTGTACATTCCTGTGGACAGAGAGCGAGAGAGAAAATCAGTGGTGAATGCCTTCGTGAGTTCTGAGTTGCTTCTGTCAATCATTTGCAAGGCTCTGTGAATTGCAAGATCCCAGTATGTTTTGCTGGGAACGTGATTGTGCCTAAGTATGAATACCTCTGGAAGATCTCGTTGTAGTTTGACAATATTAGAAGAAACCTGAATTACAAAACATTTAAAAGCAAGGAATTGTCTATGGGAAAATATTATTCCTTTCAATACAATGCACAGAGAATCAAACTGTATCACATAAACGAACCTGTCGGATTGTCGATTGAAGGGATTCAACAGCATTTTCCCAAGTCCAAGAACAGGCATGATCCCAAGCAACCGTAGCAGCGAGCATCGAATTTCCTTCGAATTCATCAAACTCAACCTGCCATTTTTGTATCCAGTTGAGAACAATTAAAATACGCTCTATAAAGAAGACGTAGCCCACCGACCCATTAGCCAGTTGCGTGATAAACGAGATTTTAAAAAACATAATCGCTACCTGAGGGACCATGAAGTAAAACGAGCCAAACGGCTCCCACTCAGACGATACGTTGGCCCGTGCATCAAAGCGAATAGCTCCGTAAGCACGAATCAAGGGGCATTTCTTTGACAGGAACCTTCAATTTTATAATTTAGAGAACATGACCCTCGAAGGCATTTTATCGAACAGATGGCAGAATAAAACTCCAGGCAAAATAAGTTTACCTCTTTATGGACGTCCAATCGGTGTATGAAAACTGATGAAGGCGACAGAAGACGACGGCAGAGCCCACACCGGCGACGCTGACGAGGCGGTGGTGGTTGAAGGGATGGTGGCCATTGTAAATGCTGTCGGCGGAGAGAGGGCCAGAAGCGAGGGTTCTGCTTCTGCCGGAGAAGAAGGTGCGGGGAAGAATCTGGGGCTGAGAACGAAGCCAATCAATTGCTTGAATTTGCTGTTGAATTGGCACCTTCAAAAAGATCTCCTTCAGTCTCAAAAAGTAGTTATCTTTCGCGGCAAAAACAGATAATGGGTGTATTCACTATTCAGGGAAGAAGAAAGAATCTCGAACTCAACTTCCAAAGCTGAACCACCGTACAGATAAATAATGCAACTTAGGTTTCAAAATTATTTTAATATATCAAACTTCTTTTGATTTTTTATTACTAAATTATAGAACTTTACTTTTAGTCTCTAAATATTTTTAAATGTGGTTTATTTTTGTTCTAACTTTTTGTTTAAATGTTGTATTGTATATGAGATTTAAACTATAGGCTCTAACATATATATCTATAATTATATGATCGTGATTTGAATCCTCCTCACATATTGATGTATTAAAAAAATTACTTTGTACGAACAATTCCAAGGTCAAGAGATTTTTTTCATCCAACTCAATTATCCCGGATGCAAATTTATTAGACCAAAATCATCATTGTTAGATGATGAATTCAATCCAAATTTGTTATATTTGAATTGGATCAATTTCAGTTGTTCGAATTATTTGTTTAGGATTTGGTAGGAACAAATAGTACTAGAAAAATATAAAATGAAGTATTTAATGAAGTAAAACTAAAATAGTATAGTATAAAAAAAAAAACTAAAATAGATATATGTCCATGTAATTTTATCTTAACTAAAAGATACTTTTTAATTAAAAATAATTTTGGATTACTTTGATTCAATCAAAACTAATTTTAAGAGAACTTGTAAAACGAAAAAATCTAACCCAACCAAACACATGCAATTTGGATGAGGTCAGTGGATTTCGAGTCGTTGAGTTTTCTTATAAAAACCATCAAAGATATTGAGAAAAATTGAGAGTGGTTAAAATTTGAAGGGAGAATTTTTAAAAGAAAGAAATTCTGCAGTCAAACCCATATTTAAGTCTATTTATAGATAATTAGAGCTCATTAATATATATACGTTTCACTAAATGAAATATAGCATTATAGGTGCCACGTGAAAATTTAAATACTTTATTGGAAAGAATGCAAATGGAAATCCTTCTAAGATAATTACCATGTAGATTTTTTTTCCCAAGTACAACATATCAATGAGTTCATGGAGCTATACTCACTTTTTCGATAATAACAATATAGATAAAAACTATAGATTAGATCCTAAATTTGTATACTTGTGTCTATTCAAATATTATATTTTAAAAAATTTCTAATGCATCACTGAACTTTCAAGATTTTGTTAATCTAGTCATTTTAGTTTAAATTTTGTGTCTAACGAATCTTTGTTATAAAGTTTATATTTTGTCATTAATGTGACACACATTGACTATACTATTTAGGGATTACAGGTGTGTGGATTGATTTTAGACAGTTTCATGCTTGTTTTTTTTGTTGTTTTTCTTCAGTAAATCACATTGGCTTGTTATAATAGTAGTTAGACACAAAATTGAAGTTTCAAGAACTCATTAAAATATTTTTAAAGGATATGGACTGAATAGGCATAACTCTAAAAATTTAGAGACCTATTAAAAATATTTTAAAGTATATAGACTATGGACTAGATAGACACGACATCTAGTCCGACCAAGTTCAGTGACTAAGCTTACAATTTAAGCTAAAATAAAGGAGAAGCAGGGAAAAACTAAAATTGTAGAACTTTCAAGTGATGATACAAAGGCTGGATTAGGGGACTAAATTTATATATTTGAGTGACCTGTAATTTATGAAAGTTTACTTCCAACATAGTGCAAAGTTTTCTTCCCAAATACAAAGATGAAGACTTTTTATAAGGAGTGTAGGTTAGGTTTCATCCATTCCTATAGTTTTAAATATTTAATCTGTTTCCGTGACTTTTTAAATAGTAAAAAATGTTTGAAAAAAATTTATATTTTACCCCTATACTAACCTTAGTTTGTCTTTTTCTTATTTTATTTTTTAATAAAACAACAAGTGAGGGTAGAAATTCAAACTCACGACCCTTTTGTCACAAACATATACCTTAACCAGTTGAACTATGCTCAAATTAATTTAATTTGTCTATCTATACCTTATACTTTCGATTTCATCAAATTAAATCCTAAATTTAAATAAATGGTACAATTAATACCACTTCGAAACCAAATCAAAAGATCAATCAACAACAAACCAATAAATCCAGTGAAATTCAACATCAAAAAAAACTCAAGATCACGCCCTAATTGAACCATAAATACCCAAGCTTAACATCCAATAAACAAAAAAGAAAAAAAATTTGTTGAAATCCAACTAAAACATATCCAACACAACAAAAAAGTCAATGCCCACAAAATGATACTATTCAATTTCATTCCGGTGAGTATAAACTTAAACAAATCGGAAGTTTTAAACTCGTTGAGACATACAATTTAAACGGTCAAGATACCTATTTTCGACTAAAAGATTGTAAGTTGAGATTCTCACCACTACACGTTAAACTAAAAAATGATTATGACATTAATTACATCATTACTTTAAAATATGATTCAATGGTACCTGCATGCTACAACCTAAAGGGTGGGTCAAAAGAATAAAGTGGAGTGATTTTAATGACGTGAAAAGACAAGTTTTCTTCCATTTTTTAGCCAATCACATAAAATTGAAAGCCTCTTCCATTTCTCATGACATCTTATCAACGACATAATTAGTAGGGACGTTGACTAGAACAAGGTAGGGAATCGACATAATTAGTAAGGATGTTGACTAGAGCAAGGACAGAAAATCTCCGTTTAGGCTCCTCGGTGAGGCGGAGGTGGGGATAAGTCCTGGCTCCCACCCTATTCCTCGTCTCCACCTCGTTTTTTTCTTTTCTAAAATGGAAAATGAAATGAAGTCCACAAAATTCTCAACTAATTAGAAGGGTTAGTTAGCTTCCTCAGTCCCAATAGCACTCCTAATAATTGGGGTTTAGTGTCATTCTATCCGGGCAAGATAAGAAATGCAATAATCTAATCTAACGTTACAGCCAGATGGCAGTAGCCCACTTAGAAGTTAGAGGGAAGAGATAAGAAAAATCTATGGGTGAAGGAACTATCGAAAGAGATTTGGAGGCGTACTTGGAGCCGAACAATCCCTGAACCAAACGCCGGCGGTGCCTCCGATTTCAACTTCCACACCCCCGCCCTCAGACTCTCCATCGCCAATTTCGCCGTCGGAGCTGCCGCTAGATTCCGTGTCTCGATTGTTCCGACTGGCACTTCGGGCTCCCCCCGGCACCCATCCATTGACGACGACTCAGAACACACCCGCCGCCGCCCCTGCCAACAAATCAGTTCACATTGTTAGAGGCAGAAAAGAGATGAACGGCGGAAGACACCGCAACTGGCCGGCGACTCACATGGGGGCGAAACCGAAGACACCGTCCGGTAGTGGAAACTTGATGAGGAGAAGCAATTCTGACCGATTCTGCTCCATCCTTGGAACAATGGCCCAAACTCAGCCCACCTCCGCCAACTGCTGCCATCACTTGAGAGAGAAATCAACTCTTCCTACTTTTATTAGTCTTTACTTTCGCAATATGACGCCCAATATTCCAAAATACATATATATTTATACTTGCAGTCATCGAAATCAAGACCCCAAATATCTGAAAAGCTGCACCTCAGTATCAATATCAACCATCTTTTCACTATGGTGTAAGAGGTAGAACTGAAATTTCAAAGTTAACAATAGATTTATGTTTATGTCAACAGCTAATCCATCGTAATGCGTATGCTGTCCATGTTGTAACAATTCCCCATGTATGCAAAAACATGAATCGATAATGAAAAGGACGAGACCATCCAACTGAGAAACTTGTTCAATTGTTTGCTTTACTGCCTAATTCATTGTTCGCTTTGGAACTCGATTCATTTACCTGAAGGATGAGAAAAAAACAAACTGACATAGGATTTAAGAAGATACGTGGATTTTTGCTACATTCACATTAATAGAAAAAGGGTTTCCACTTGGAAGCAATATATGTATAGCATAATAGAACTAAACTATTAAACATGTAAACACCCACAATAACACAATCTTAGTATATAACTATCATGGTCTAAGACTAACTTCTGCTGCATAACTATGGACACACTAACCGATTTGAGGTTCCCTCTTTCGCCATTCATGTCTATGATTTAACATCCTTGTCTGCTCCTTATGTTGATAATATATCCTTCTGCAGATGATAAACCATGAGGAGAATTCCAAGAACACAACGCTTAATCCTCTGTTTTCCTTATGCTTTTGATTGATCTCAATAGCAGTATCGGTAAAACGTTCAGTTGTTCCCATCTCTGGAAGAGGATTCATGGGGCCAATAAGCTCCAACGTGTTCTACTTTGTAGCAGTGCATTTGAAAAAGGACCAAAAACGTAGTACATTCGTGTCGTGCTCTTGATTGATCAGGAAATCCAAGAAGCCGTTGCTGCCTCTCCTCCACTCTCAGCAGTCCGAGTTGTTCCGCTAACAGAGCCCAGGGAATCGTCTTCAATCAGAAAAAATAAAGACCCTGAATGTTCAACAAGCCCATTTCAAATCAAAGTCTGCACGAATTCCGATCCTCCAAAACTACAAGAATACAAAACCAAATCTCCGACGTCTTCACTCATCCGAAATCCAAGAACCTTGTGTAACAATTGCTCGATGAATTAACATCACTGTGACTCCGATCCTTGCCCTCATCTTATCAGTAAACACACTTGAAGTGTTCATAATCTCAAATTTAGAGCAGTTTCGGGTTTTCATGGAACTTTTTACCCAACTCAATCAAAATGGAACCGGGTTCCGATGACTACAATTATTCGACAATGGGAACATGATTCTTCATCCCAACTCCTAAATTATTTAACTCAATCGACACTCAAAATAACACCGAAGTTAAGAAACCTACAATCGCGTACGGACGGGAATTACTCATCGCACACGGCGGAAGGCGACGGAATCGGAAAGTTAAGCAGAAGCCCTAAACTGGTAAACCACCTAAGTAGGATTTAAGCAGAAGGATGAGGAAACTGAATTTGGCGCCTCGGTAAAACGGGGCGCCACATTCACGAGTTAAAAGGGTGGGCCGGGCTTCGGCCCATTTCCCACGCCACACCGGCCTTGGCCCATGGCTATAAGCTCAATCTTGAGTCCAAGTTTATGAAGCGACAAAAATCCGCCTACAAAACTTTTCATGTGCCCTTTATTACAGGTTATTTTCAATAGTATCCTATAATATTTATTAGCAAATGGCGATATTAGTGTTGAGGTAGTATAAAAAGATATTGACGATATTTTTCAATATTGATAAGAGGTAATTAAAAGGAATAGAAAGATTGAATGATTATTATAAACTGTTATAAATATTATCTTTAAGTTTAAAGAAGAAAAAAACGCAAGAAATGGAAATTATAAACAAAACTACCGTAAAATTATTATTTTCATACCAAAAATCCTAAATCATTGGCTTCAAACTCACAAAAAAAAATATATATACATACATATATATATACATGTTTTCTTCAAAACCACTTAAATCTAATATTCTATATTTACGTTATATACATCTTTTACAATTCAATTTCTGAAAATTACTAATTATATATATATATATATATATATATATATATATATATAAAAAGAATGAAACTTACAAAAAAAGAAAAAAAACATGATTAGTCAAGTCAACTCAACTACATAATTAATTTTGACTAATTGCCATTGGATTTCTTTTTTAGTTAAAAACTTAAATGTGAAAATGTTTCTTTCTCTGCCCAAATTCAACGAATTTTTGTGACTTCTCTGATAAAAACAAGGCAATATAATTTAATTCAATAAAAAATATTTATCAAATGAACAACTATTACCCGATTTAAATTTTGTTTCAATTGATATATCATCTTCAAGATTGGGGGATAGGGCAAGAAGAATATATTCATACGAGTTAAAAGTCTTTGCTTTGAAATAGTTTAAAGGTAAATTTTGAATATTTTGATCGATTTGTCGTAGTCGATCAGAGATGACGTAGTATGTGATGGAAAGTATGCTCATCGAAATGACAATTTCTTTCATGATATTTTAGTTTTATCTTAACTATAAAAAAAATTAATTAAATTCATATTAAATAACATAAAATAATAAAAGGGGTGCATAACTCAATTAATTAAAACATCTATTTTCGATTAAAAAATCCTGAGTTTAAATCTCCAAAAGAAAAATAGTGGCATGTGATTGGCTTATGAACTCATTTATTTAACAGAATATTTAATTAGTTTTGTTTTCTTAGGGTTTTAATCAAGAGAGACACTAAATTCACCAGGTGGATTTATTCTTTTGACATGACAAGCCTTTTTTTTTTGGGTATATTTCAATAATTTGTTAAAAAAAATTAGAAATTATTTAAAAAGACATTACATTTCTTCTGAAGTGGCCCTGTTTCAACATGAAAGTCTTATTATAAGACAAAAATGAATAAAAATGGGTCAAAACTCAAAAGCTACCGTCCTTTTCTTATTCAACAACTTGGCTTCTTCATTACACACAAACGTTGAAAACCATCTTCACACCATCAAAGTCCACTCCTCAAATCCATTGCCTCTAAACTCATCCAATCTCATTTTTATAATAAAATTTCCTTCCCTAATTATTATTAATGTCAAAGTTTCACCGCAACGATAGATAATTAAGAGAAGAACATGAATGAATATATAAGTGAGTGACAATATCTTCATAAGTATTAAGTCTTTTAAATGAAAAAAATAAAACTCCGAAGACTTATGATCAATGTAGGCAATATCATATCACTGTAGATATGTTGGAGAGTTCTATTTTATATATCTAGCACCAATTTTGTTTCTTTCAATTTCCTCTTCTTTTTCTGTTTTTTCTTATTTTCCTCTCATATCCAATTTGGGGTTAGAATTTGATCCTAAGGAGATATCTTATTGAAATGGTCAATGGACAAATATGAGACTCTTGGGAGAAATCTTTCTGAAGCATATCTCATACAGTTGACATTGTATTGTTGTAAAGAGGGTTTTGATTTTCTTATGGGATATTTCATAAAAAATCGAATTTTGTGATATGACTATATGTTACATTTGTTTTGAAGTTCACCATTTTATCGTTCGACGCTCGAGTCTACCGATACAATTGGCTAAGTCAAACATACATCTTCTTAATCTCTACAATAATGTAATATTAATATTCACATAATTTGGACATAAACTCTTCATATAATTTCGCATTTTGATTTCACTCTAAGATCTTTGTACCAATGAAGACGAGATATTCATCACTTATTATATCAAACAAATGTGAGACTTGGATCACATTACTGATGGACTATATATATACTTTATCACACGTTTATGAATGAGATTTACAAAATGTGGTTTATAATTTAATTTGTATATTTTCTAAAGGTCTACCTATATATTTTTAAACTATATTCATTTGTCATTTTCTTAAAAAATTACTTCATATTAAAAGTGATTAAGGATTTTTTTAGTACAACGCATGTTGAGATTTGAACTTACAACCTCTTAACTGGAAGTATATATCAATTATCGCTGAACTATACTCGCTTTAACAAAGGTGATTTAAAACGTGTAAATATCCAATAATAATAATATTGTATTTCAAATTTTAATTTATGGTTTTTTTTTTAATTATGTGAGCGCATACCAAACCCTCCGCATACGTAATTAATGTGTGGGGTTTGGTCAAATATAGTGTCCAACATTTAAAACTTGATGAACCCCATGTTGCTCAAGTCAAATACGCAATGATATAGATATATAGGTCATGTTGCTATTTAACAATTAATTATATAGTTTACTAAGCTAACACGCACATCATATAAAATTATCAAAATATATTTTCCAATATTTACTATACCTTTTAAAGTCAAATTGAAAACTGTAATTTAATATTCAATCTATTTTACTTATTAGCATTCCACCTAAAAGCCAATCGATTTTGAGATAGAATTTCATGAATGTATCAGAGCCTAGAAGTTTAAATGAGCATTCGGTTTGAGATGAGGTCAAAATTGGTGAACCTAAAAGAGACATTATTTTGACGGAACATGCTAAGAATCCTACATTTTTCTTAGAATAAATGTGTCATATTTCATTAAGGGTAGAACATACAAAAGGCCGAGGTCTAAAGAAATGCACTCCAATTCAATGAAATGAACACAATATCACAAGAGATAGTTTATAATATAAGCATGCTACTTCTCTCCTTGCCAATCAATTTTACGATGGAATCTATAAATATTGATATAATTGGATCATATGAGTTTCACCCAATTATGTTAATTCTTTTATATCCAAATGTGGATGGGAAAAGAAACAAAGTTGATATTCTTAAATTAATATTTGTTTCCTATTGATATATCAGGTAGTTGCTTGTCAAAAGGAATAAAAATAACGAGACTTAAAAATATTCATTTTGTATCAATTATGAAGATCATTTTAATATTTCACAAGACCCAATTTTTAATTTATTATATATTTATCCAGCCAACATAATGGTTAGTCAACGGGCTTGATCCCGAGGTTGGCCAGCAAAATTTGCGGCAAAACTTGGTCGCCTTGCATGACCGGGTCGGGTCATCTCCTTCAAGTGTCCCAAAGATTTATATATTTTAAGATTCCGTCTATTATATATACATATATGGTCAATCAAGTTCAACCATTTACTTTCACTATTATATTGTTTTTTTTAACTCTCGAATTTTCGTAGAAAGATCTCCACTTGTTTGAAGAAATTAAAAAATGGTACATTTAATTTTGTCCTTTGAATTAATATATATATATATATATATTATCATCGAAATAAAAATCTTTGATTAAAATAATCCGAAAATGATAGTTCATGGTTGTTGTGTGAAAGTTAAACCTAGTCTTGAGGTGCCAAAGCGAGCATAGTTTAGTGGTAATTGACATATACCTCCAACGTTGTGAGTTCGAATCCCCTCATCAACATGTTGTACTAAAAAAAACTTAATCTTGGAGTAGATCATAAACATATTCTGATGTGTATGAGAGACACATGTAAAAAAAGATGCTAATATTTTGATGCTCAAGTCAATCAAGTTCAAAATTATCTTAAAATGAACTATGATTAGGAGTGAAGTCCAATTGTGGGGTATGCTCTAATTTTCGTTGCAAATCACGATGCATGTTTGATTTTCGCCATCATGAGGATGATGCTCGACAAGGACATCACCTCTCGGCCACGATATCCCAAGCATAGCTCAATAGCTACCAATGTCAGGTTGGGTTTAAAGATCTCTAACCATAATGGAGAGACATTTTTTTCTCCTCCGAATAAATTGTTCCGGTGCTTTCACATAAAAATTGAATAATACCAATTTTTTTTTTTTAGAAAAAAGTTTGATTATATTTTTGTTGGAATATTATTATAAAATAGAGGAGATTTTAATTTGAACTATAATTTTAACATTCTAGATTTTTCTATATATTAATCTCTCAATTTATAGAAAAAGTATATGCAAGGACTTGATTTTATATGTATACTTGTTGTAATATGTAATTAGTTAAGTAGTGAAGATTGATTGGATATATAAGGTTAAAAAAAGGTCAAAGACATGGACCAATAATAATGAGAGAGGGCCTCAAATCTCTTGACCTTAGACAAGGGCTACAATAAATAAGTATTAACATAACATTAAGAAGATCATATGCCAATCAAGAGGATGAGAAAACTAATCTCACCAGTGGTAGCACGGCAGTGCCTCCAACTTTGACATTTGGACCAATCCGCAATCCCCCTCCCCCATGTTACTTGGAAATTAAAGAAGGAAAAAAACCCTTGATTAGGAGCACGTATATAAATCACTGCACTCTTATTATACCCACTCTCTCCTCCGACCATTGCGCCACAACCCTCTCTCTCTCTTTATGAAGATATTTACCACAATGGAAATAAATAAATAAATAAATAAAAGGGTTTTATATAATGTAAGTTGCAGAGTTTGTGTTCAAAAGGGGAGGGAGGTTTTGGATTATATTTGTGTTGGATTAGAGGAAGAGAAGTTGAGAGTTGAATCTGAGTCTTTTTTTTTTTTTTTTCTCTTTTGTCTTTTTTAAATATAATATATTTATTTTGTACTTTTCTTGGAAATAAAGGGTAGAGAGGGAGAGGGGTCAAAGACTGCTGCTCTCTTGCTCTATTATAACTAAATAGACAACTTATCAGAACCAGAAAATTGGAACCCAGAGAGAGAAGAAGAAGAAGAAGAAGAAGAAGAAAAGAGGTTTTTATTTTATTTTCATGGAGGCTGCAGCTTTGCCCAAGGAAGAGGATAGAGTCCAATCCAGTGGAGGAGATGAAGAAGAAGCTGCCACCAAAAAAGATGTTCTTCACAAGGTAATTAATTAATTATCTTCACCACTTTTCTTCTTCTTCTCGGGAGTAATGAAAAAAATTCTTGAATTCGTCGATTATAATTAAGATCGAGATTTATTTCTTGGGTTATTTTGTTTGTTGAAATCTCTTGGATTGACTCGGTGGTGTGTGGTGGGCGCTGTTGGGTTTTGAATTGAAAAATTTTATGACCGAAATTATTGTTTGGTTTTTTGTTGTTTTGTAAAACAGAATATTTATTTCGTGAAGATCGATATATATGTAGTTTAGTTCTCAATTTTTTCCATGAAGTTTTCAAAATAGTTAATCGTTAAAATCGAACCAAATCTGACAACAAAAGCGTGGACTATTACATGGGTTTTGCTGTGGATTAATTACTTTGAGGGATATTCCATGAAAATTCAACATTATTATAATTTTCGATCTTAATTTGGTTTAATAGAGAAAAATCAATTGTGTGATTATGAATTGCTCTTTAATTAACCATTAAATGACTTAATTTAATGAAGATGTATTAACTTTCATAATCCATCAGATCAGCATCTTTAGTAAAATTCAAACTAAATGAGGTGCTGTGGAAGATATAATTAAATTAAACCCTAGCTAGATTTTTTTGACCATTTTTGGTCTGTTTGATGTAATTGGTTGATGGTTCAACAGGTCCCATTTATGGCGGACTTGGAAAAGCCCTCGGTTGCATCAGCTTCTTCAAGTTGGAAGCAAGAGGTAGCGTAAACCAAAACCTTGCAGTAGTCTAGCTTTTGGCATTGCATCAATGAAGTTATAAATGGGATTTTTGTTTTCTGTTAATTATGAATATGAATCAACTAAGGGTAGAGTCAGTGATTTTGAAAAAAAAAATAGTATATTTGAATTTTAAAAAATGAAGGCTGTTTTGTAACTATGATCTCCATCATCTCTTTAATTGGAGTAATTTCGTTTAGCCTCTGGTTATTTTAAAAAATATTATTTTTAAGTGATTTTAAGTTTTTCTAAAATTAATTTTTTAATTTTCCCAAACATGACCCATGAGAAGAAAAGTGATTTTAACCATGTAAAAGTCATTCTCAAACACACCCTAACCCATAGCATCAAGGATGGCGAAGTTATTCTCTCTATAATTATGGCCTTGAGCTAATTTTCAAACCCCAAAACAATGTAAGTTTTAAAATATGAATAAATGTGCTTAAAAGGTTTAGTTTCTGAATTTTAAAAATGAAGTATTACCTCTCAATTTCAATAGCTCTTTGAAAAAGTTTCAATTATCTAAAGAACTATTAGACAACTTTAAAGTTGAAAAGATATATTTCTTTGATCTGGGTTTTGAGCGGTGAATTAATTAAGATTGAGTGATTGAGGTGGATGATGATGAACATGTGCAGGAAGAAAGAATAAAAATGGCGAAAGCAGAAATGAGGGAAGTGAAGGAAGAAAACGAGAGGCTAAAGAAGTGTTTGGATGAGATAGTGAAGGATTACGAGAGGCTGAAAAGGCAGTTCCAGGAGATTAATCAGAATCAGAATCAGAGATCAGAAGGCAAACAAACCAGTGCAAGTACCATCATCCATGATCATGAGGTTGAAGAAGTTGACGACATGGTTTCATTGACATTGGGAAGATTCTCGTCAACATCAACCCATCACAACAACAACAACATAATATCCTCACAGAGATCATCAAACTTGTTATTGGATCACAAAAGGGTTTCATTGACTGGTAGCTCCGAAAGAAATCAAACCCCATCAAATGATCTCGTCGTTCAAACTCCGCCCGACAGCGAGCCTAAAGAGGAAGACGCTGGACAGACTTGGCCCCCGAGTAAAGCCTTGAAGACCACTTTGCCACCGCCGCCAGCAGAAGACGAAGTTTCTCAACAGAATCCTCCCAAGAAAGCTAGGGTTTGTGTCAGAGCTCGATGCGATACTCCAACGGTTAGTCAATAACCTCTTAATTAAGCTAGTTTTGGATATATACATCTTCAACTTTGAATTTTGTGCAAGTAACTAACCTATTAGCTAGTTTTAAAAATTTAGAGATGACTTTTTAATTCTTGAATTTAAAAAATATATATTTATCTGGATACAAAATTGAAAGCATTTATTTATTAGCATTGAAGTAGAATAAATTTGGTGCAGCTGAACGATGGTTGTCAATGGAGGAAATATGGACAGAAAATTGCAAAAGGAAATCCTTGCCCCAGAGCTTATTATCGTTGCACTGGTGCACCCACATGTCCTGTTAGGAAACAAGTAAGCCTTTTTTTTTCTTCCTTTATTTTGGCTTTCACATAATTTAGTTATATGAATGTTATTTGTTAATTACTTTGACTATGTTTTGGATGTTACAAAGAGAATAAATAAATTAATAAAATTTCAAGAATTTCTTTAATGTTAATTAAAATTGTACTAAAATTTTGTAACCATTTTTTTAAAGTATATTACAGAAGAAATATATATATATATATATATATATATGTATATATATATGTATATATATAATATATATATGTATATATATGTATATATGTAAAGGATATAAGATAATTTTAAAGTAAAAGGTGACTGGGTCCATTTAGTCTGTCGTTTTGTCAAAATCGATGCTGAATCAATCTATAAAAAAACAAAATTAAAAACTTGACGTTGAACAAATTAGAACTTAATTAGTTTTTGAAGAATCAAATCCATACTGTGGAAATTAAAACTCAATTTACAAAATCTCTATCGAAATCAAATCAATCAATCAATTTTCAATTTATTAAATAAAATTGAACCCACGTATATCTCAAACCAAGTCAATTTCATCAATTAACCAATATTTTAAATGTCAATGTCGATAAATAATTCTGTAAAAGTTAGAATATCAAAAAATCGTAAAAAATATTTAAATTAATAAATAAACATTTTTCTATTTTTAAATTAGTTAAAAGTAATTAATATTAATATTATGTATATATTAGTGACATTTTGTTGATTTTTTTCATATTTGGTTGATTTTCTTGTACTGTAATAAAAATGTCGATTCATCCTTCATGTCAATGTTGAACCTATGGAAACATGAATATGTCGATAGAAATGTTGATGTGTCGATGAATATTTAGAACCATGATTTTAACATAAAATTTATGTATGCTGTAACTAAAAAATTATTTATTATAGCAGGGTTGAATAGTAATCAAATTATGTGCATTGGAAATAATTTTCTTTAAATTCTCTCACATATAATCTCTTTTTAATTAACAAAATATTGATGCATATATAATATATGTATTTGTAGGTACAAAGGAGTATTGATGATATTTCTATATTAATCACCACCTATGAAGGGACTCACAACCACCCTCTACCTGTTTCAGCCATGGCCATGGCTTCCACCACCTCTGCGGCGGCCTCGATGCTCCTCTCGGGCCCTTCCTCCTCGTCCACCTCCCGGCCCGGCATCGGCCTTAACCCGCCGTCGGTTGCCAATCACTTGTATCTCTCTAACAACTCAATTAACAATCCAAAGCAATTGTACTTCCCAAACTCTTCACTCCTCTCTTCTAATTCTCTCAACCATCCCACAATCACCTTAGACCTCACTTCATCTTCAACTTCAACTTCTTCATCTCCTTTCCATAAGATCCCTTCGACTTATCCCCCAAAATATCCCTTCACCAGCCTTGATTTTGGCTCTTCCCAATCCAACTTAATGTCTTGGAACAATGGTGGCCTAATTGTCAATAACAATCAACCTTATAATCTAACCAAGAATAATAGTGCAATAGGAATGTCATCATCAGACCTTACCAAACAACTGCCTCTCTCTAGTAACATCTACCAAGCCTGCCTTCAGCACATGAACAAAACTTCAACTCCGGCACCACCACCGGAGACGATAGCAGCAGCAACGAAGGTAATTACGTCGGACCCGAACTTCCAGTCCGCGTTGGTGGCTGCCATCAGCTCGATCATCGGCGGGGAAAACGGCGGGGAGATGAGTAGCTATGTGTGTGCATCATCAGCAAGTTTGTTGAGCAAAACGCCTTCAGGGACAAGTTCTCAACAGGGAAGTATGGGGTTTCAGCCACCAGCTGCTGTTTCCAATTCCAAGACTCCTTCTTCATCTCCGGGAGACAGTAGAGACAATAATACCAAGTGAACATCCTATCATCAAACAGTTAATCATTGAGCACTTCTTTTGTAAATACCTCATCAACAATTAAGTTTTCTCCCAGCTTCTATTCTTTTTATTTTCGTTTTTTTTCCTTTTCCAAGATTGAAGAACAACTTTTTTTTTTCAGCCATTGGTCTCAACAAGAGATGTTCATACATATAGACAATTTTTGGTATGGGGAATTCATCCATTGATTTTCATCAGCAATATATATCCTTTTTATTTATTGCTTTATAAGTAAATGTAGTACTTTTTCTTTAAGATATCGGACCCTATATTCCTCCAATTAAGAGATGAAGTCAAGATATCGTAATTAGTAAATATAGTACTTTAGTGGCGCATAATACTCAAATATACATTTAGCCATTAAATTTGTTCATATTTCTGTGTGGTTAGCTTTTTTTTTTTTTTTTTTTTTTTGGAATAGAAATAATTCATAAATTAGGAAAGGTTCTCATTGGCCAAAATGAACAACCAACTAGGGATACAATCTACCACTTCTCACTCTACCATAAAAATAAATACTTTTTTCCTTTCTTAAGGCACGGTTCCATACCATTTTAAAGATGAATAAACTATTACTCAATTCAAAAATTTAAACTCATGGATCGGATAAATTTAATTCATTTACTCCTTCCTTAATTTAGGGTTCATTTTCACTCTCATTTGCATATTCAATTTCTGATCTCTACATTTGTTGTACTAAACAAACTAAACTTTTAAAGGTTTCAATCATGTCTATAATTTTTTTTTTACTTTAATTCAAATAAGTTTTGATAATAATAACAAAAAAAAGTTTTGATAGGAATAACAAATGATGTCGAGCATATAGTTAAGTATGGTTGTAATCTGTCACAAGGAATATACCAATTGTCTTCCTTGAGATTTGAGAGTTCTCTCACCCCACATTTATTATACGGAATAAAAGAAATGATGATGAAACAAGAATGAGTTTGCACAAAATTTGATTGGACCGGTAGGAATTTCATTTCAAATCGAATTTTAGGGATGTGAGAATTAATCATCATTAAATGTAGAAATTTTCAAATTTAGAGATCAAAATTGGATATATCAAAATTTAAGATTAAATATTATTTTGGGATAAGTACACTAGTAGATCATAGAGTATTCAAATTACATGAATGAATTCAGGTTATTCTTGGACACATTGTCCAATAATTCACATTTCGAGATGACTTTAATCCAGCCCAACATTCAGATATTATCAACTTTGGTCAAGTTTAAGAATTATGCAAATCATTGTGGTTTATTCAATTTCAATGTCAAACTTTATTAAATTTGACATTTAAAATTTTCTAACTCATGGTAACACTAATTGAATTAAAAAGGGATTAGTACATTAATAGGCTATTTAGAGACTATAATTATATTAGAAGATTGAATTGTATAAAATTTACACTATTGTCATCAAACAATCCAATTTAAGATGGTACCTATCACCCAATTTACTAATATATGGTATCTCACCTCAATATTAATTAATTTTTAAAATCCAAAATTAGTTATTGATAGGTTACATTTTAAATCTCTAAAATTTTACAGACTTCCCAAAAGTAAAAAATATCAAATCCCAAAATCCTTCATTATTAAAAAAATTCGAAAACCTCATTCCTCCGACTTTTCTTCTTCATCTGTCGTTCTGTTTTCGTCCATTTCTTCGTCTCCGACCGCTGTCTGCATTCCTTCATCTTCGATCGCCGTCTCCATTCTTCTTCGTCGTCGGAACAGTCTACTAGCTTCTCCTTCGTCTCCGGTTGCCTGTCTATTGTTTCCGTCCGTTTATCTCGAGATTTCTTTTTTGTCGCCGGCTGCCCGTCGACTATTCGAGCCCTCCATTTATCTTGACCATTGTCTAGTTGACGACCAGAAGGTTTGTAGGTTATTTGCTTCATTCGTTAATTGTAGAATGATATAGTCGTATATACTTTATAGTCAGATATAGATTATGTGTCTAAGTGTATGTTATAATGGCTATAGTTTATATCAATATAAATGAAAAGGTAGCTGGATATAGTTTATATAAATATAAATGAAAATGTAGTCGGATATAATTTTTATATATATAAATGAAAAGGTAGCCGAATATAGTTTATATATATATATAAAAAAGTGTATGTTATAATGATTATATTATTGAAATTTGGCAAAAAAATGTAATGAAATGAAAAAATATTTTGTAATAAATTTCATTATTTAGTAGAATATATTAAAAAGTAAATTTCGGAATTATCATAATAATTGAATATTTTATAATAAATTTTATTTAATATAATATATTAAGGAGTAAATTAGGAGATTATGAGAATGATTGATTGTCCCACGATAATTTAATGTTTACAAAATCAAATTTGAAATATTAATTTTTGCATTTAAATAAAAAACTAACTATAATAAATATAAATACAATGGGTAAAATAAATATTAAAATAAAATCATGCCTACATAAATCTATGTAAAATTAAAAAATTTTAGAGTAAATAAGTTTCTAAAATAGCCCTCAGACATTGCCTCAATTAAAAATATCTCTTTATATATTCTCTATCAAATATTCAAATTTTCACACCACATATTTACCGAAAAAAAGTCAATTACAAATTATCTAAACAACAATTTAACATATTCGGCAAAGCCTTTTAGTATCATTATCAAAGCATGATGATTTATAAATTCCAAGCTGAAACATATTAAAAAAACAATGAATCAACTATTACAATTTTCAACAGAGTTGGTAGTAATGCCTTTTTTTTTCCTTTGGGGAAAGATAGTAATGCCTCTTGTACAAATGTATTCAGCAAAAGAGGACATAGCTTATAAACTATTATGTTTATAATAAGAAGATACCCGCAGGCTGACACTTTTCACTTCATCACTCCTGTACTTGAAAGAAATCACCCCACTTCAAAACCTCACACAAATTACAAAAACCAAAACAGGGACCAAACACAAGAATCTGAGTTCTCACGAGCACAAGTTCTCTTTTATATAACTTCTTCTGCAGATCTCACTTCAATTTGGGGGGCCTCCTCCTACAAAAACCAGAGAAGACAAATTGAAATAATATGTAGAAATGAATTGGATCACAAGTTGCATAAGAGATGTTGAGGTAAAAAGGAAAAGAATTGCTGTACCAAATTTTCTTTGTTTGATTGCACTGAATCCTCTTCAGGACTCGTACTAGCTGGAACTGCAGATAAATAACAATTGCAGAGTGTTAAAATAGCTGCAAATGATAAATGCCAATTGAACTGTTTATAGAATCATTTTCTTAGTATGCAATGAATGACAATTCCACAGAATTTTTAGTTATTATGCTGACCTTTCCCACTGAGCTGTTTCTTTCCGTGTTTGGTGACCTTATCCTTTCCTTGAATGGGTTCTTGCTTGTTTGGCTTTTGGGGTTTCTTCACAGATTTTTTCACCGTCTCTGAAGTTGAATTTGCGGCAGCATTTTTATTCCAGAGGCCCCTATTCCTGGGTGTTGTAGTAGGATTTCTCTGGTTGACATCAGTGACTGGGGTAGTTTTAGCAGCAACATCAGTGTTTAAGGATTTTGGTTTAAGTTTCCTAGGCTCCACTGTGGATGAAGAGCTATGAACTTCATCATCCGAAGACCTTGTTCCCACTTCGGGCCCCTGAGAATAAGTTTCAGAAACCTGCAGTTGCTCTGAATCTTCAGATGTATTGTAGCTTTCAAGCAAGTCTTTCACTGTTTGTTCACTTTCATCAAGTTTGCAACGTTCTAAGTAGGACTTAAGTTCATCACGCATCCGACGAAAAGGCTGGTTTAAGATTTTGTCAGTAGAGGTAACAACAAATAAATGATACTATCAAAATTTTCATAGTTATAAGCAGAGAAAAGATTGGGAAAACAATGTTGTTACCTTGCACTCTGCCTCCAGTGCAAGTTTGAAAAATCCAAGCGACACCGTATGCTTAGAAGCAGCTTCAGAGAGCTTGATCTGTGATAGCCAATATGATGTTGAAGATAAAGTGTTGAATGTTTTCCTGCTTGACCGTGGAACGTCAGAAACAGGTGTGTCACTTTTCCCCTGGCTTCTGGCAGTCCTCCGGACCTCTGATATTGGCGTAATGTTGCCAACTACTTTTCGATTTGGGCTTACATTTTTAGTTGGAATAGACAGCCTTCTTGGTGGTTTAGCAGACTTTTCCTTGGCAGATAGGTCAAGGACTCCAACACTTTTACTCACACTATATACAGATCTACCCCTGAAACTCCCAAACAAAAATCAATTAATCTTCAGTACTTAGAACAGAGAAGATTTTGGGAATAATATAAAACAGAACAGCTGGATTCTTTCTGCACAAAGATTAAATGAAGGTGCAGATAGAAATGGTCAATGGAATGAAGATCCAGAATATACAATGCCCAAAGTATATCTGCTTGAGAAGAAATTGGGTAGACATCATTAGCCAAGAAGAAACTACTATGGAATTTTAGAGCATTAAAAAGAAAGAACTAGAAATTAGACCAACACTATGGAATGGACGGAAATGAAGTTTTGTGAAACCTTACGAGAGGGAATTGTGAGATGAAATGATTCCTTTACCATTGATCACCATTACAGTTTAACGCATCACGTACACATTTCATAAGAAAGACATCAAACATAAGTGGAAAGAAGACAGCACCATGTTTACGGTTGCACAAAACTGTCTATTTGTCAGTTTGATCATCGCTTATACAGGCAAATCACTGTAAAACTGAATTCCTAGAACTTTTGAAAAAGATTTACATTAGAAACTTAAATTTCTCTCTATCTCTTCTTACGGTTTTCTTAGTTCCAAAAATGATTACATTTTACGAAGTCTAATTGTCTAAACTTCTTCTAATGAAGCAACTTTCGACTCCTGCACTCAGAAGTGTTATTTGAGAGTACACAGTCGAACATGATTGACCAAAATTACAGTGTAACCTATTGGATCACTTTGAAAGAAATATTTGTCTAGTGATGATCAACGAAAGCCCCCGAAAATATCAAAACAGTAAACAAGTAAACATCCCGAATGACAGATCAAAAGAATAGCAAACTGTATAAACGTCAGTTTAGCAGAAAAATAAAGAAAGCGTAGAAGTAAACAAAAGAAAACCACCTTTTAGAGGTAGAAGAAGGAGGATTCGACAATTCAGGCACAGGAGGCTTCTCCTCCTTGGATTTAGTTCCCGATCGCAAAGCATAACGCTGGAGCTTGGGTTTCGCAGAGTTCCCTAACCCTAACCCATCAAGCCACCAAAAAAATCAGCAAAATGAAAATTATAAAAATAGGTTAAACGGAAAATTCAGGAAATCAAACCAGGAAGTGGAGTAGATTGCTGGTCCTTGATCGGTTCTTCCATGTCTCTGCTTCTCTGGAATTAAAAAGTAGAATTTCTCCGCTCTCTCCCCCGCTCCGATTGTAAACGACAAAGATTGAAATTCGTCCGATAAAGCTCTTGCGCTTAGTGGAGCTCATCGAATGGGGATTTTATACTCGATTCAGAAAATTAAATAAATAAATTAGGCGGGAAAATGTGGAAACTGTCACCCACTTCCTAAACTCGAATATTCCCCCTTTGCTTTCTCTCGGACCGCCACGTGTACTAAATATTTGGATTTGGTATGAATAAGCGCTGGTTTTAAAACGTTAATAATGACACGTGGATGATTAAGCGAGGGGTTAAATTTTCTAACTGCAGCATCGTCGAATAAAGAAAGGGACGGTGGATGATGAAAAGAGGGAAGATTTTGAACGGCTATCTGACCTGACCCACTGCGACTTATTGTAAAGAAAAAAGGGGTCCAAAAATACGCTCAAATTTCGAATTTCAAATTTAAATTCGTGAGCCGTTAGGATTGGGACTGAAACCGTCCTTTTCGGTTGATGCTCTGTCTAATGGGCCTTCTCTGGCCTGGACTCACCTTCTGGGCCGTGGCCCAGCTCCAACTCAATCATGGCCCACCTATTCATGTTATCCGCTCCATTACATCTTTCAGTCAATTATATGTCAGTTTGAACGTTTCTAAAAAAAATACCAATCAATAAGATACAGTGAATAAGTAATTGTTCATTCAATAAATTACAATAGAAAGAAGCGTGGGAAAAGGAGAATACAGCTCTAATGAATCAAACTCAAAGAATTTCTATACCAAATTTAAACATTCAATTATAATATAAAATTTATAAATATACAATACTGGAAGCAGGAGAAAGGGTGGTAGATCAACGAGAATTGTAAGCAGCTACTTGTTCAGGATCATACACAATGCCATGAACTGGGCCTCTCTGGCCAAACTGACGTCTCTGTGAAGCTGATCTCAAAGAGAGGGATCTCAGGGAAGCCAATGGCTGCACGTTGGGCGGCACCGTCATTTCTTCAGAGTGACCGGATATGCAGAGGGCACCAGAATCATCTTGTTCCCAGTAAACTTCTACCATAATCCCCGTTGGATTCTCTGCGGTCTCTGTCCCTGGAATTCCCACAAATCTTGATCCTACTGGTATCTGTAATGTCATAGAATCAGCAAAATGACGTTCCTAAAAGGCAAAAACATTGACAAAACTATAGTTCCATTTAGGTAGAGGCAGATGGTTATTGATGGGTTTACCTCAACAGTGTGGCCAGATGTTGTTAGAGTCAAAGACACCATAGTTCCATCAGCTGCAGCACTTTCCAGCTCTGCCTGTTTTGCAATGTTCAAGAAAACTTCTTCAAGGGTTGTAAGACTGAGTTGGATATCAGATATTCCAAGCTCTCCCTTTCTCTCCTCAAGTTCATCAAAGAATCTCTGCTCCACCATCGTAAATTGTAAGAATGTGATTTTACAGGGTACCAAAATTAATTCATGACATCCTCTTAACAAATTAAATATAGTTTGAGAGAGTAGACGTCAGGATGGTTACCGTCAGAAGCTTTTCTCTGTCATGAGGAATGATGTATGTTAGAAAAGATTTGTGCTCTTCCTTGGGTAGAATATCCAAGCGCTATCATTATATCATGATTTCAGTTAAAATTGGAACATTTAAATAATATAAGGAATTTTAAGATCAGTTTAGTTTTCTAAACTCACAGATTTGAAGAACTGCTTAATTTCTTCAGGGCTGCCGGTGGTGGTATTCAATACCCCATTAGGAGGAGGAGTATGTCCCCCGTTGTTATTGGCAAAACTAACATGGGCGACAAAGCCAGCACCAAATCTTGACTTCAACCGGATTGAGGTTCCAATGCAACGGAGCCTTCCCTTCGCCATGATTCCGATGCGGTCACTTAATATGTCAGCTTCTTCCATGGAATGAGTGGTTAAAAGGATCGCTCTTCCTCTCTTTGCACCCTCGATGATATCCCATACGTGCCTCCTTGTTATTGGATCCATTCCAGTTGTCTGCATTTAAGTTCAGAAAGATTTTGAGTTCATGTAAATATTACACGTATCTCCAAGGGTTATAATTAAATTTGCATACCGGTTCATCCAAGATGACCAATTTCGGATCACCGATAAGAGCTATGGCAACACTTAATCGACGCTTCATTCCCCCACTGTAACTCCCAGCTCTCATCTTTGCAGCCTCAGTGAGTCTTACTTCTTCCAATGACTTCTCTGCGATCTATTTGATTAAATGCACATCTTTAGGTGAGAATACTAAAAACATATAACCATCTCTAAATTTATGAACGTAGTAGTAAAGTGTAATTGGTCTGACTCTGAGATAACAGAACTTGTTTAGACAGTTACATACCGATTTTATGGAAGATGGTGGGAGGCCTTTTATTGTAGCAAAAAGATGGAGGTGTTCTTTCCCAGACAAGACGTCCCACAGGATGTCGAACTGTGACATACAAAAAATCCAAACAAACAAATTTTTTCAGAGTGAGGATTTGTAGAAATACATTGATAAGTTTTTCAAGATAATCACCTGTGGACAAACACCAACAATTCTCCGAATGTTTGCCATGCCAACAGAGTCACGAACAGAATATCCATATATTAATGCTGTTAAGTGATATATGGCCCAATTAGTAATTCCCTTCAATCGAGTGATATTATGTCCAATAAATAGAATTTGATTGAGATCACATTACCGTCTCCACCAGTCACTGGTGTAATTCCAGTCAAACAACTGATTGCTGTGGTTTTCCCAGCACCATTTGGTCCAAGAAGACAAAATAGTTGATCCTTTGCAAAGTTCACCCACAAGCCCTGAAACTCATTTCAGTGTTATATTATTGCACCATTGATATGCTGATGGCAAAATAGTTGAAGCAGGGCATTTATAAGTTACAAATTATTCATTGTTACTGTAACCACATCGCGTAAGTCATGTGGCAGTCAAAATTTCAAACCATAAAGCAAAAGAACATAAATGCATTTTGCACAAAATTATAAGATCATTTGATATGTCCAGAAAGTTATGCTTCATGTTCAGTTTGCCGACGTCAACCAAAAAGTTGAAAGAGTTTGTTTACCCTGACAGCATGATAAGGTGGAGTTTTCTTGCATTTACAGCAGAAACCACAGTTGGTCTTCCAAGCTCCAGGATAGGTCTTTGCAAGGCCACATATTTGAACCGCGACATTTGAATCCATTATTCCATCTGAAAGTTGTTGTTTCACCGTGTTTTCCTCTTCACGGACATCTTCATCATCTGGAGTAAGAGGCTCCAGTGCTGGAAGTGTGCCCAAGCAACTGCAGATGCCACCCTCTATCAAAAAAGGAAAAAAATTGCTCGTTAAAATTTATTTGAACTCCAGGGGAAAGCCATGCGTAGAAAACATGCAGTTTCCAAATTTGAATACCTTGAACTTTACTTCCTCCTTTCCCTGACCAATATCCTGGCCTCAAAAAGTAAAAGGCTGATTTTCTCACACCAGCTGCATTTGGGATAATGTTGTCAAGGTATATTGCCAAGAAAAACCATAAGAAGAATGTCCCCACAAGCCATATATAAATATCATTCTGCGAAACCAGAAATCCAAAATAAAAGGTCAAAGTTGAGGTCTCGTTATGACTAGCGCTTAGTCTATTATTTTGGCATTAAATTGATAACATACCATAGTTATGACACATTCAGTATCATTTGGAGCACACTCCGTCCGTCTACTCCAGCTGATTCCTGGGTCTCCTGGGGTGGAAGTTGCATTGGAGAGCAGAGAAAGAGCTTGAGCTAGAAGATTAGGCGGGAACAAGGACCAGATGATTTGAAAGAACTTTGAAAAGTTATTTGAATAAGGAAATCCAAATGCAGTGACAAGCTGTGTGGAAAGATGGCATTTAGTCATTGTTAAGTTATTTATGGTTTACATAGAATTTTAACAAAGTGAATCATACCTGAGTGAGAAATCCAACGATAAAGATGGAGAAGCCCACAGTAGTGGATGAAGACGACTTGCTTATAAAGGCTGATAACATAAAAGCAAATCCAACCTAACATAAAAAATTAATTTCATGGTAAGTAGTGTGGTGAGAAGAGGTAAGATTAGAAAAAAGAAGAAAAAATTTAAGGACAAAGGACCATTTCAGGAAACCATCATACCATATTGAGTTGGAAGAGAAAGAAGACGAGAAACACAACTGCAAAGTTGTTTTTAGAGAAAAAATCAAACTGAAACATCATTCCAAATAGAACCGTGAAAAGAGATGCAATAAGTGTGGTAATTCCTTCCCATGTGAGCCATGACAGCCAATATGCAGTATCATACAGACCCATCATCGTCATTGCCTGCATAGAAATTGAGGGGGAAAGGTTTTGTTAGAGACTAAGAGAAAGTTAATGATACAGAAAATGATAATTCTGGTATGGTTAATTATTCAGAACATAGACCTGACGAAGTTTGAGCTCTTTTTCTGTGATCAAGGAGCTAATTTGAAGAACAAAACCAAACATGGCAATGGCTAGGAAAAATGTTGGCCCAACAGTATTCACTGCAGAAAAGTTGTCCACTGGAGGGTGTGCAAATTCCATGAAATTGATAATCCAGCTAAAGTTGGGAACTGAAAGGCACAAAAAAATACAACATTGCAACATTGCAGGGAGAAATGTGAGTAAGATTATTATTGCTAAGAAGTGAAATGAATTTTGTAAATCAAGCATTGAATTAAGCTTATTACTCCCAATCAAAGATCGAGCAATTTCACGCTCTGCAGCAATCTGAAGTGGAATCTGAAATTTAAAAGTGGGGTCTTCATAGTGCCCTCTCTTTGCCACAGCAGTTGAATTAGTCTGTATACCATAACTAATCACAGTCCCATTTCTTTCTGTGAAATGCAAGGCGCCAGGGCAAGTCATAGGATTGTTAAAAAGCCATTCATCTACTTCAGCAGGTGTACCAAATGATCGAACCTGTCATTTGGCCATGTATAAAAAGTCTATCTAAATGTACTTGACTTTGTAAGGATTCCCGTTCTAATTTCTTGAGAACAGAAGGGAGGGAATAAAGTTGTACGTATTTATTTTATTAAAAAGAAA